CAAGCGAATGAGCCAATTGGAGTAAAGTGCCATGCAGATTTAAATTTTTCCCACTTGTGACGAATGCAGCTATCGATTTTTTTTGCATGCTAATTAACATTCGTGTCAGTCAGCTGTTGGCTCTCACGCTGGCCAATAGAGTCTTCCTGCCTATTCGTGGCGGCCAGCTATAGGATCTCACTCTGGCCAGTAGAAAATGGGCGCAAACTACATGAAAACTGCTGTAGAAGCATGAAAAAATCGATTATTTCCTCTATCGATGGGAGTTGGGAAATGTAAAATCGGTCTTGGTGTTCCCGCTAACTTGGAGCATGTGCATGTAAATTTTGGTGCAAACCCGTCGAAAATTGCGGCCGTGCATTCGTTACACACACATACACACACACACACACACATCCTGCCTTTTATAGATAGAGATAATTCTCAAAATGTGTGTGTATGTAAGTGTGTGTGATCGGATGTTGTTTATGCGTTTCTACAATTTTCATCCGATCATTTTTTTTTGTTTTATAGATAATTTTTCAGTGCCGGTTTTGAGTCCAAATTGGGTGGAAAAAAATTAAAACCATGAAGGTGAAAAATCGAAAAAAACTGAATTTTTACATTTTCCGCAAAAAATTAAGGGCAAAATTTAATGTCTGTAAAAACAGCGTGCAATCAATTAGGAGAGTTGAAATCTAACGCAGAAGCTTATTAGAATTATAGAAGAAAATTATATTATAAATAAAAATTATCGTATATTATTATCATGCGGTTCCATGAAAGAGGTTCCTTCCTTGCAAAATTGAGAACGCAAAAACGGCCATTTTCAGGATCGCCCCCATTCAAATTGTTACCCCCCCCATTTGGGGATGTGTCTCAGTTGCACTCAATTGTTGTTACTAATATTGATTTTCGGGCGGGCTGACTTTAAACTAAACTGTTCCAATTGAACGGCACCAATTCCCAGTAATGAAAGACCCGGTCGATGACGGGTTATACTGCTAGTACACCATAATTTCGAGACACAATTTAGTAATCCCTGCACTAATATGTTTTAATATGTATATATATAGCTTAAAGGATTTTTTCTGATGTTATCGAAGAGGAGAAGCAAATAGGTTATATTTGTGGCTATTTGTATTTTTCTATTTATTTTTTCTATCATAACTCGTGGAGCGGAGTTCGAATTCCAGTCAAGTTCGTTGGATCCACTTACGCACAAATGCCCTTTGGAAAGGCATGAACCCATCTCTTCTGCCAGCTATGGGTTGAATAGAATGACAGATTGGAATATTTAGCGTTGGTTAGCAACCACTCTAACGAAGAAAGAAATGGCAACCTACTGCTGGAAAAAATCTGCCACGTCAGTTATGTATCGAAAAGATACCTGATCGCCCAAGCATATGTATGGCATTTAATTAACTCATTGAGCAGTTTGTGGTCTGTGACGATGCCTGCCATAATGTTTTTGAATGTTTGATTGGAGCTGAAATTTTTAAATATCTTTCTACACAATATAAAACTTATAAAAGAAAAAAAAATCTAGAAGAATGTATAAAAGGTATATTTTTGTTTTCATGTGAACTAGTATACTTGTTGATTTCAGCATTGATTTATATTGTCAGAAAGCAGATTACACAAGGCTTATTCGATGTATCAATACAAATTCTTGATTGTTTTACAAGCGTGCTTGTGACTAAGATATACAAAATCCGTCACTTGATCAATTTTCTTATCGGCCGTCCGTCTTTCAGTATAAATGTTAAACATTGCAAAGCGTATATATGAGATGTCAAATAATATCAGATCTATCATATGCAGATGATATAGTCCTGACAATCAGCAGTCTAAATGACCCCCAGATATGTTTGAAATCTATTGTTCATAAAATAAGAGGAATAGATCTTGAATTAAATCTCAAGAAGCCTATTTCAATGACAGCAAACAAAGAACAATTTATCATAGATCATAATTTATCATCCAAAGTAACAGGACAAAAACTGATAAAGAGACAAGAACGACTATAAATTATTTCTTCAAGTTCACTTTTGAAAATTTGCGAATAAATTTAAGTGAAACCTCTATATTAAAAAAAAGTCAACCAATTATATTTTATACTAGCTTAAAAGTTGCACTCCGTGCGAACTTTTAAGTTAGCTCCTGCAGAGGGATAATTTTAAGCTAGCTTCCGCGGAGGGCTAATTATAAACTAGCTCATGCGGAAGGATCCTGGCCTAAAAATAAAGGGATCACTGGGCCAGCTTGGACAATAGCAAAGATAATTTTGAAGAAATAACATTGAATTCCTCTATTCACTCTATGGAACTTCAAAACCTCACTTTAAATCTGATTCTGACTATATTCTTAATTTCGCCTACAAGACAGATTTGGGCCGAAATTCCAATTCAGACCGAAAACTGATTCTGTGGAACTTCAATTGAGTCGAGTTCTTCAAGTCATAAACTCTGTGTAACTTCAATTGGGTTGAGTTCTTCAAATCATAAACTCTGTGGAACTTCAATTGAGTTGAGTTCTTCAAATCACAAACTCTGCGGAACTTCAATTGAGTTGAGTTCTTCAAATCACAAACTCTGCGGAACTTCAATTGAGTTGAGTTCTTCAAATCACAAACTCCGTGGAACTTCAATTGAGTTGAGTTCTTCAATTCACAAACTCTGTGGAACTTCAATTGAGTTGAGTCCTTCAAATCATAAACTCCGTGGAACTTCAATTGAGTTTAATTTCTTCAAATCACAAACTCTGCGGAATTTTAGAACCTCGTCACAGAACCTCCCACTTTAACCCCGACTCCTTGGCATTTTGAAAAATTGATTTCCTCAATTCACAAAGTTTTAGATACATTTTAAATTGCGTATAAAACATTTCTTTTTTAAATTCATAAATTATTTGTTACTTTATACTCAATATAAATTAAAAACAGTTATTTTAAAATTTTTGTTTTCAACTGCCCGCTCCTCATCCGGACATAAATCCTAATGCGGATGTTCAAGTACCAGATGAGGGCCAGATTTTTAATCCCGGGATCTTTCTGATTACAAAAAATATATAATATGTCTATGTAGAGCGAGTGAGTCCCGAGTTAGACATCAGGCATACTGATGGATAGACAGAATTTACCCTTTATTTATTTAGATTAGGTTAAGCGGGATACCAAAATTAAGCAAGTGCAAAAATTTTAATATCTAGGAAGCGTTTTAACAGAAGATGGGAAATGCAACACCAAAATACAAAGGGACACTTGGATAGCGAAAGATGCCTTCAAAAACGTAAGCAAAATATTAAAAAATTAAGTATTAAGAAACTATTAAGTGTTAAGAAAATTTCATTTCGGTCCTCCTATATGACAGTCAATGCTAGGCTATCCCATTAGAGATGAAGAAGTCTCAGGAAGCAACCGAAATGTGTTATAGAGTAGGTTGCTGAGAATACCATGGACTGAACATGTGTGTAACGAGAAAGCTTTAAGGAAAATGGAAAAAAAGACACACGTAGCATGAGTAAGAAACAGTTGATATTTCTAGGGTACATAATGAGAAAGGAGGGATTGGAAAATTTGACACTCAGAGGAAGTTATGAGGAACAGAGGAAAGCAGCACGTAACCTTCTTAGAGACCTTGTGTAAATGGTTGACAGAACAGGGATTTGAACATATAACAAAAAGACAAAGTATTCTGAGAGATACAAAGGACAAGAATTTGATGAGAGCCATGATCGACAACGTCGTGGAGTATGATTGGGTTTGGCTTGGTTTGTTTTATTTTACGGCATATCAACCACAATGAGTTAATTAAAGCCGACAAAATTTTTATTGCTGATAATAGTTTTTTACAAAAATGTATTGCTGGTAATACTTTCTTATTCAAAAATCTATTTCCGGTAATATTTTTTATTCAAAATGTAACGCTGGTAATATTTTTTTTTCAAAAAATGTATAGCTGGAAATATTTTTTTTCAAAATATGTATAATATTTTATTTTTTTCAAAATATGTATAGCTGGTAATATTTTTTTCAAAATATGTATAGCTGGTAATATTTTTTTCAAAATATGTATAGTAATATTTTTTCAAAATGTATAGCTGGTAATATTTTTTTTCAAAATATGTATAGCTGGTATAAAATATGTATAGCTGGTAATATTTTTTTAATTAAAAATGTATAGTTTGGTTTGGCTGGGTTATATAATGTCGACAAGATGTTTATTGCTGGTAATTTTTTTTTTTCAAAAATATATTGCTGGTAATATCTTTTTTAAAAAAATGTATTGCTGGTTCTATGTTAATTTTCAAGAATTTATTCCTGGTAATAGTTTTTACAAAGTATTTCTGGTATTAAAACCTATTTTACACTTTCACAATGTTTTGATGCCAGGTTGGGAGTCAACTATTTGTCCACAGCTGGGATCCTAACTTATGCTACAAACCCGGCTCAAGATGAACCTGGAAACATGAGCAATTAACAGATGGTTACATGCTCCTCAAAACCTCTTGATCAGAGGTCTTGCTGTTGGACGTAGTTTATCGTCTTACCCAGGACGCGGATGTAGTTTATCGTCTTACTAAGAACAGCTTGCAGTATGAAAATATAATGGAGTAAGTATAGCAATATGTAAATTATACAACCATAAATATAGAGACTAGAATGTCTGTCTTTGCAATGAACTAGCAAATGTATATTCTTGATGTGAAAAGGAAGTTTGAATCAGTTTTCTTATGTGTGCTCATGTATACATAGCGCATGCTCTATGCGCATGCGTGATTCTGTAAAAGTGAATATTAATGCCTGAATGTCTCGATCAGTGTATATATTTCTTACCAGATATTTATGTAACATTACAATCTGATCTGCCATTTCCAATCGGAATGGAACGAAGCAGAAAAAGCGTATCGAATGCATCAACTATTCCAACATTTTCTCGCTTTTCCCTATTCACTGTGTCTTAAGACTTTACTGTTGTTTTTTTTACCCTCTCTCTGGTGTTGATATGTCGCTAAGTAGTTCAGAAGCTGCTGCCAGTGCTTTCTCTCCAGTTCTTCGGTCGCCATCGGCTGACGTTGGGAAATCCGAGCCCCCCCCCACCCCCCTGAAAGAAGTCACATGAAAGAAATGAATAGTAATTCATAAATAGCGAAGGAAGAGAGAGAGAGAGAGAGAGAGAGAGAGAGAGAGAGAGAGAGAGAGAGAGAGAGAGAGAGAGAAAAAAAAAAGACCGTATGTATGAATTCAATGTTTTAATAGAACTTTATTCGTTCATTACTTTCTTTCGTTCTTATTTTCATTTAGTTCCATTTTTATTTTTTGTTTCCATTCTTTCTCATATTTATTGGTATTTACTAAGCTTAGACTGAGTGTGAAAAAAGCCCCCAAGTATGGGAAATTCGAGCACACTCCAGTAATAAGTATATCTACTAAGATATCTTAAAAAATCTGTGGGTGGGATACAAACTTTTATTACAGGTTTGCAAACGGATATTTTGGAAGTATATATAAATATATACGCAAATATATTTCTATTTATAAAAATTATTGTTAAATGTCAAATAGCTTTGTTTTGTGATGATACGGCAGATTTTTTTTTTTATTATTTTAGCTATTCGTAGAGATAGGTTTACAACATAATACAAATCTGGAGTCTCATCATAAACTAAAAATATTTTATACAAATATATTAAAACAAAAGGCAAAGAAGAAGTAGAATGAGGAAAAAATATTCATCGTAAAATGTTGAATCGAAAAATATGATAAAAAAGATACCAGGAAATGGCTAAGAAGCTCTCGCTCTTCAGAGTTTATTCGAGGACAAAACATATAAATATGTGCACAACGAGTAATAAAATGTTGTTGGGCATAGAAAAATATTAGCAGATATGCGTCAGTATAAATCTCAGAGAGATTACATTTTTCGCTTTCCTTACTTGTTGCACGCATGTTTTGTCCTTGATTAAACTCTGAAGAACGAGGAGCGATAACAGATTAGTCTCTTTTTTGTTGTTTGTTTTTTTTTTGTTATATGTTTCGATCCAACAGATTCCGGAAAATTAAATTTTTTTATCCTTACTCTATCCACTGTTTAAATATATTTCTGTATATATATATATATAGCTAAAAATCCGTGGGTAAGTAATCCAAGTGAATCGTAATATTATAAAATATTAAACATAATTTTGTTGTATTTTTCGCTTTTCCTGGAGCTTGTCAATATAAAACGTTTATCAAACGAAATGTTTGAGATTCATTTTATGTAATTCATATATATATATATATCCAAGAAAGAACAGTAAGATATAAAATCCGGTGTTCTTATAGATATTTTATTTTTACAAAATAGTGCTCAATGTAAATTTACAGAGCATTAATATTATAAATTAATTGATTTAAAATATTTTTTTCGCTCACAGTTCCAACCATGTTTCAAAAATAGAAGCTAAAAACCCTAATTTTATTTTTGCAAATAAATTAAATTCTATTTCATCTTCAAGCGAATTTTGAGTAACTTTTAAATTTACTGGGTTTTAAATACACAGCTAAAATCACGTTTCCATGGTTACAGAATATTCTACTCAAATTGAACACGGGTGTCTAGATTTTCCTTATGACAATCATTGTATCAGTTATTAGCTACATTTTGGTAAGGGGTGAGGATGTATTTTTACACTGAAACCTCGTCAATGGATGTCGTCTGAATTTTTTAACGTCATCTTTTAAAATTAAAGATTTTTTTTACAATACTTTTTATTTAACTACGATTTGAAATATTTTTCCTTTTAATTTTTATATATTCTTTTTTAAGAACAGTTAAATGTATTAAATCCATTATATTATGTAGGATTATTTTAACATTAAGTTTAAGTATGTATATGAGGTTAAAATTTTTTTTTTTTTTTATATGACTATGACAGCAGAAATGGTTACTTAATTTCACTGATTCAGTAAACTTTTTTTATATATAAACCTATTATTATAATATTTCACATTTACTGAGGACATGGGTCATTCAAAAGATGTTATGGTATTTCATATTAATTTTATTTTACTATAGGTGTTATTTTTGGATTCTTTTTAATGCGTCATTCAATTTAACTACAATTTTAATTACAAATTATTACAACTTTAAAATTTTTAAAATATTTTCATTGTTTAGTTTTAATAGACTATATTACTTTATAACAGAAGAAAATTACTCATATTAAGTAAGATTATTTTTCCATATCAAAGTATATATTTTTTTTTTTTTTTTTTTTTTTTTTTTTTTCTTTTAAATAAATATATTTATAATATATATATATAACTAGCTAAGTCATTTCTCAGATTTAGTAAAAACTTTATTTATTTATTAATTAATTAATTTATTTATTTCAAATATATGTAACCTAATTAATAAAGTTTCATATGTATGTATTCATTTTATTTTACTACAATTTTAATTTCAATTTTAAAATTTTAAAATTATAACTTTAAAATTTTTAAAATATTTTCATTGTTAGTTTTAATTTAGACTATATTTTTCAGAAGGATAATTACTCATAGTATATATATATATATATATATAATTATATATATGTGTGTGTGTGTGCGACTACCATCACGATACATTTGTTGCTTACATATTTTCCCGTAGTGGTCAATGATGGCTTGTCTATGTTCCAGTCGGTTTATCATGGCATGAAAAAATAACTCCCCTATCCCCACCCTCTGAGGTTACTTTTCTATTTAGCTTTACAGATCTGACATTTAATTGATTAATCAAGACATACGCACAAGTCAATTTTCAATTCTGGCCTTATATTTTACTTACCCCTATATATTTTGGAAAATAGGTAACACTTTGCTTTTGAAGTTTTCTTAAAAATCCTTTAATTACAAGTTACATACCATCACCTGAAGAAGTACAATCAAAGTGTTGAAACATGAATTTTTTTTGTGTAGCGATTTCAACTTGTTTTTATAATTTCTTATAATAATGATAATATATATATATATATATATATTCTATTAAATGGATTTTAAGACGATGTTTTGTTAGTTTGACACAAGAAATTATATTCAAGCTCCCAGCGAGGATCAAATTTACTGAGACAAATTAACTCCAAAAATTTTAAAAATCTTCATTCAGAAAATGGTAAAAATCTAATATAACATCTTTCCTTTCACTTCAAGTTTAGAGGTAATTTCATTCATTCATTGTCACTTTTTCTTTCTTTCTTTTTCTTTCTTTCTTTCTTTAATTTTTTTAGTTCTTCTAGCCTCCTCTTTGTTTGCATCCTCTCTAACGATGAAGTCTTAAAGAGGATGCAAACAAGGGGGAGGCTTATACTTAACATCAGGAATGGCACCAGAGGTTCCTGGGACACATAATGAGGATGGAGGGCCTGGAGAATCTGATACTCACAGGTCGAATAGAGGGAAAGAAAGACAAGGGAAAAATGCATGACATACCTAGCAGCCTTAAGCAAGTGGATGACAGAATGTGGTTTGGGGGAGGTGGCAGAGAGAAGGAATTTGTTGAGAGCTGCAAAGGATACATGTAGGTGAAGAGCCATGATCGTCTACGTCATAAAAGGAGACGACATATAGAAAGAAAGAAACGTTCTCTTTATTATCCAGTTTCTTTTTCTTTATTTCTTTTAGCTACCCTAAGTTATTTCCTTTCCTTTTAATTTTATATGTACATAATTCTTTCTTTCTTTCTTTCTTTCTTTCTTTCTTTCTTCTTTTCTTTCTTTCTTTCTTCCTTTCTTTCTTTCGTTTGTTCGTTCTTTCCTTCACACGTTCGTTCTTTCCTTCGTTCGTTCCCCTTGAAGACAAGTGTCATTTCCAACTTCGATATCGGATCAGGCGTCCGTACTTGAGGGAGGTGAGAACAACGCGAGTTGGTAATGGCGGAGAAAACTGTAGAAAAATCAACTTGAATGAAATCTAATGCAACAAAACGACTTTCTGACGCCGGCGTTGCGCCCAAAGTAACTGATAAGATTTCAGTGTTAAAATTACCCACATACTGGTATCAGCAATATCAGAAACGACGACGATAATAAGGACAACAACAATAACAGCAACAACAACAATAACAGCAACACCGACAATGACAACAACAATAACAGCAGCAACAACAACAATAATAATAATACAAAATACAAAGATCTTGAAGTGGAGAGATAATTTTTTTTCTTTTTTAAGCATTACGCCCCGAGCAAGGCATGAAGCCACTAGGATGCAGGGGGTTGCAGAAGATTTGGAGCAAGAGCTGATAGGAGTGATAGAAGAAAGGATGAGGAGAAGGATAGTGGATAGATCAAGGTAATTGGTGGAGGTGTCGATTGACATTACATTTGAATAGTTGTAGATTATAGCTCTCAGGGAAACAGTAATTGGGAAGGGTGTTCCACAGGCGAGAGGTGCGAGGTATGAAGCTATTGGAATAGACCGCTACATTTAAAAGTTTATACAGTGTAAGAGTGGGAGCGGGATGCCAGCCTCGTAGGGCGCTTGAATTCATGGAATCTGGGAACCAGTGAAAGCAGCTCATCGGAGCAATTACCATGAAAATATTTGTAGAAAAGACAGAGAGAGGTGCACGAGACCATATATGGCAGCAATGCTCCATGCAAGGGCGAATGGTTGATTTGTATATTTGAAGTATCGATTCCGAGGAGAAAAATTTCCTAGTGCGGCACAAAGAGCCAACTTTCCTCGCGGTGGAAGAAGCAATTGACAATGTGTTTGTTCCATCTCAGGTCAGCAGTCAACGTGAGACCGAGCAGACGCAGGGAGTTGCTCTCAAGAAGTTGACTATCAGACATTCTAATGGGGGGGGGGGCAGGGAAGGATCTCTATGGTCATTAATAGAGAGTAGTTTACTTTTTGAAGCGTTAAAGTTGACCAGCCAATTCTTGCCCCAATTAACAACCGATTGGAGGTCCATTTCAAGACGCACGGCCAGGTTAGTTTTGTCACCGACACTAGATTTGTTTTTAAGGCAGGAGTAAATTGTAGTGTCGTCGGCGTAGATGCCAACTTGGGAATCTATGTGGCACATGAAGACATCAATAATTCCAGTTGTAGTTGGAGCCCTCGGTTTGATTGTAAATGATTCTGATAGACTCATTGAAAGGATCCCAGGTAGCCCATGTCTTAAAGAAATACTATTCATTGTTCTCCCAAGTACAGCATACAAAGAGATTTATCTTTTTAAGATGTGTGTTATCTTTTACAAAAATACTTAGTGTCATGATGGCATTTC